TGGGACTAGGGAGGCATACTAGTGTTCTTTGTGTCTAGCCCAAGGACTTTTTTTTTTTTTTAGATTTTAATTTTTTAAAATTTAGATTTGTGTTACTTGTATGAGGTTTTGACTGCATTTGTGTCTATGTACCATGTGTGTTCCTAGTGCCAGAAGAGTTTAGAAGAAGGCATTGGATTCCCAGAAGTAGAATTATTGGTGTTTGTATGGATTCTGGGTATTGAACCGAGGTCTTCTGTAAGAAAAATAACTTTATTGATTTGTTTATTTGTTTTGAAGCAGGGTTTCTCTGTAGGCTTGACTATCCTGGGCTCACTTTGTAGACCAGGCTGGCCATAAAATCACAGAGATCCTCTTTCCTCTGTCTCCCTGAGTGCTGGGATTACAGGCATGTGTCACCGTTTCCAGCCTAAGACTGAACTTTGTTAGGAAACATAGTTTTACCTTGTTGTCCAAGTGGTCTCCTGGTCTCCCAGACAGAAGGCATTTAGCCTTAGCTTCCTCTGTAGCTGGCACTAGGGAGGCACATAGGGAAGAGGCATGCCCTTTGTGTCTGGCTCAAGTTTTTTTGTTTTTTGTTCTTCGATTTTAATATTTTATTTATATTTGTGTTATATGTATGAGAATTTGCTTGCATTTTTGTCTGTGAACCATGTGTGTGCCTGGTGCCTAAAGAGATTACAAGAGGGCTTGGATTTCTTGGACCTGGAGTTATCGGTCATTGTGAGCCACAGTATGGGTGCTGGGAATTGAATTAAGGTCCTGTATACAAACAAGTGCTTTTGTAAAAAATTTTCATTTTATTTTTGAGATAGGGTTTCTTTATAGCTTTAGCTGTCCTGGGCTCACTTTGTAGACCAGGCTGGCCTTGAACTCACAGAGACCTACCTGCCTCTGCCTCCCTGAGTACTGGAATTATAGACATGTGTCACCATTCCCAGCCTAACACTGATTTTTTTAATTGTTTAAAAACAAGATTTTACTTTGTTTTCTAAGTGGGTCTGGGCTCTCAGACTCAATTGATTTCTTGGTCTGAGCTTCTGGTGTAGCAGGGAATATGAAGGCATACCCGTGCCCTTTGTGTCTCTAAGAAGTAGGGTTTTCGTTTGTTTGTTTGTTTGTTTGGTGTTTTTTTTAGATTTTAATTTTTTATTTAGATTTGTGTTACACATGTGTGGTTTTTCTTGCATTTGTGTCTGTTTACCATGTACGTGCCTAGAGCCTGAAGAGGTTAGAAGTAGGCATTGGATTTCCTGGCACTGGAATTATTGGTGGTTGTATGGGTTCTGTGATTTGAACCCAGGTTCTCTATAAAAAAAAGTGCTTTATTTATATGTTTCTTTTTATTTAGTTATTTATTTATGTAAGTATATGTATTTCTTTATTCTATTTATATGTTTATTTGAGACAGAGTTTCCCTGTATAGCTTTTGCTGTCCTAGGCTCACTTTGTAGAACAAGCTAGCCTCAAACTCATAGAGATCCACCTGCTTCTGCCTTCCTGAGTGTGTGCCTGGTGTCTGAAGTAGTTGGAAGAAGGCATTGGATTCTCTGGAACTGGAATTGGTGATTGTGAGTCACTATATGGGTGCTTGGAATTGAACTCATGTCCTCTATATGAACAAGGTCTTATTTATTTATTTATTCATTAATTTATTTATTATTTTGAAGCAGGGTTTCTCTGTAACCTTGGTTGTCTGGGCTCACTTTTTAGACCAGAGATCCCCCTGCCTCTGCTTCCCGAGTGCTGGGATTACAGGCGTGTGCCACCATTCCCAGCATAACACTGTACTTTAACTGTTTAGAAACAGGGTTTTATTTTGTTGTCCAGGTGGTCTCCTGGGCTCCCAGACAGAAGGCATACTTTAGCCTTAGCTTCCCATGTGGCTGGCATTAGGTAGGCATATGAGTGCCCTTTGTGTCTGGCTCAAGTTCTTTTTCTTTATTTTAAAATTTTTTATTTAGATTTGTGTTATATGTATGAGGATTTGCTTGCATTTGTGTCTGTCCACCATGTGTACACAGTGCCTTAAGAGGTTGGAAGAAGGCATTGGATTCCCTGGAAGTGGAGTTATTGTTAGTTGTGAGCCACTGTGTGGATGCTGGGAATTGCACCCAGGTACTCTATAAGAACAAGTGATTTTTAAAATAATTTTTATTTTATTTTTGCAATAGGTTTTCTCTGTTTCTTTGCCTGTTCTTGGCTTACTTTGTAGTCTAAGCTGGCCTGGAACTCACAGAGATCAGTCTGATGCGCTACCTTCCTGAGTGCTGGGAATACAGGCATGTGCCACCATGCCCAGCCTAACATTGAATTTTCAGTTTTCAGAAAGTAGGTTTTACTTTGTTGTCCAGATAGTCTCCTTGGCTCCCAGGGTCAAGGTTTTCTTTTGTCTGAGCTTCCCAAGTTTCTGGGACTAGGGAGGCATACCAGTGTCCTTTGTGTCTGGCTCAAGGACTTTTTTTTAGATTCAAATTTTTTCATTTAGTTATGAGTTACATGTATGGGGTTGTGCTTGCAATGTGTGTGTGTGTGTGTGTGTATACCATGTGTGTGCCTGGTGCCTGAAGAGTTTACAAGAAAGCATTGATTTCCCTGGAACTGGATTTATTGATGGTTGTGAGCCACTGTATGGATGTTGGGAATTGAATCCTGGTCCTCTTCAAGAAAAAGTGTTTGTTTATATGTTTGTTTATTTTGATACAGGCTTTCCCTGGCCCAGAACTCACAGAGATCCCCCTTCCTCTGACTCTCAGAGTGCCAAGATTACAGGTGTGAGCCACAACTCCTATGTCAGGTTTGTATTTTTTTCTTCTTGTTTTTTTGAGACGTTTTCTCTACATAGCCTGGCCATTCTGGAATTTATAGAGATTGGGCCTTTGCCTACCAAGTGCTGCGATTAAAGCTTGCGCCACTATGTCCAGCTTTTAAAAATGTTTTATTTTGACATTATTTCCAATTTCTTTAAATATAAGTAAAGATGATGATTTGGAAGTACAGCTACACATATTTTATCAGCATTACCAAGAGATCAGGCAGTGAGGTGTCTTAAGCTATCTTAGTTTTGTAGTAGATAAATCTATCTGGTACCAGCATGTTTATATAGAATTATAGGCTAGCACTCCTTCCTCTTTTAAAATTTTTAAAATTTTTATTTTTTTCAATTAATTCATTTTATGTCCTGGTTGTAGCCCCCTCCATCATCTCCTGTTTCCTTCTTCTTACTCCCATCCCCCCTTTCCCTAGTCCACTGAAAGGAGGAGCTCTCCTCCTTTGCCATCTAACCCATATCTTATCAAGTCTCACCAAGACTGCCTGAATCCTCTTCCTCTGTGGCTTGATAAGGCCACATCGCCAGGGGCAAGTGACCAAAGAGCAGACAACCTAAGTTATGACATAGGCAGCCCCTGCTCCCCTAACTTTGGGACCCACATGGAGACTGAAGTGCCTGTGGGTTGCTTTTCTTTTCAAGGTAGGGTTTCACTATGTGGCTGTTCAGTAACTCATTATGTAGACCAGACTGGCTTCTAAGTCAGAGTTCTGCCTGCCTCTACTTTTCAAATCCTTGGATTAAAGGTTTAAAGGCCTGCAAATCTACGTCCACCCTTGAACTTTTTAAGGTGCCAGTTTTAAGCCCACACAAAACTCCTGGAATAATGCTCACCATAAAAAAAGCAAATGCATCGGAAGTACACTGAAGTCTGCAAGAGAAAGGTACAGTGTAACTGCTTGTTTTTGTTTTTGTTTTTTTTTTTTTTTCCTTGTGTTTGGAACAGGCACCAGAAAGCTTACAGTACCCAACTCCCCCACCCCAGGATCTGAAAAGTTTTGATGCCAGCGCCACTGTTCAGTATTGCTAGATGTTTTGCGGTTGCACCCCCTTTCTCTTCTGTAGGGGACTAAATGGTCTTCTGCCAGGGCTCAGTGTAGCTGGAACACCATGAAGACGAACTTTTTAAAACATTCTGGCAGTTCAAGAAAGGTAGAAGCCTTCAGGTTCTCATATAGATAGATTTTTTTTTTAAAGAATTTAGTTTGAGCCAGATATAGGTGGCACATATTTTTAATCCCAGCACGGTGGAGGCAGAGGCAGGTGGATCTCTGAGTATGTTGCCAATCTGGTCTACAGAGTGAATTCCAGAAAACCCAGGGTTATGCAGATATACCCTGTCTCGAAAAACAAAAAACAAACAAACAAAAAATAACATAAAAAATAAATGTAAAGACTTTTTTTTTTTTTTTTTTCTGTGAACTCAGAAAGTTGTTAGAAACCGGGCATGGTCCGGGCTCCAAAGTTAAAGGTGGAACTATGTCCAGTTCCAGGCCAGCCTGGGCTTACAAGGACCATGTAAAAAACTAAAGGACCAGTTCTTAAAACTAAACGGAGAAGGGGTTTGTTAGAGAGGGTTAGCCGCAATATCCGGCTTGGGTACACCTCTCTATTGAAACGGTGCCCTTCTGTGAGAAATAGCATCACAACAGGGATGTCCAATTCTAGAAGCACTGGAGCAGGTATCTCAAACTCATGGTTAGAAAATTCAGAAACTTCGTTACGGTCATTCTTGAGAGGTGGGAGCCCAAAAAGGCGGGAATATATCCTCTACTCCCATGGTGCCTAGGGGCTTGGCCCTATTAAAGGCGCTGCCCGCACACATCCGTTGCTGGCTCGCCAGAGGAACGGAGGAGCGGGGGGTGGCTGGGTCCTGCGCCAGACACGCACACAAGCAGGTGTGTATACGGTGGGCTAAGGGGGCCCCGGTCTCCTTTGAGTGTCGGAGGTTTAAGTAGAGACACCACTTTGGAGTAGCCGGGATCCGTGTTGGCACCTGGGATCAGGAGGACTGAGATCCGGTAAGACACTTCCCCTTACAGAGAAACAGGGCCGTGGGGGCCGGGATCAGGGCCGAGGCCTTCAGCAACCATGCAGAAGGCCCTGGGATGGATGCAGGCGCTGCCGAAAAGAACAAATGGCCAGGATTCTATGGGGTTAGGGGCGGGACATGGACGCCACAGAGGACCATAGAAGCAGAGGGGGTGATGACGAGGAGAAGGGAGCGGCGGGGAACATGGCGGCTGTGACCCCTGAACCCAGGGACTGGCTGTTTAGAAGGTTCCAATGTTTGGCCGTTACCAGTGTAACCAGGCCGTTTCAGGCAGTGCTGGTCCACACACACGGAGCACAGGGCACGGGTAGGGTAGTGGTAAGTGGGGGTAGGGTCCAGGACAGGGGACAAGGGCAGACAGGGGCCTAGCCTTCGGCCTAGGCTTCACGGGCTGTGGGAGAATGGTCTGCACGTCTGTGGGAAGCCACAACTTGGAGATGTCCCAAGGGGGTAGGAGAAGGTTGCTGTGCTGGGAGGACTAACTAGTAACCTGGGGCTTAGGATTGCTAAAAAGGGGCGCTTGTCTGGCCAAGCGGAGACTAATGGCCACCATGGGCAAGATATTAACTTACGGCCCAGCAGGAGGGATGGGGTCTCAAAGCCTGCCTGGTGGAAGCGCCTATACGCCAAAAAGGCAAAGCTCCAGTTTTGTTTGTAGAAGATGCCAGGAACCTTAGACAGTACTTGAAGGGGGCGGGGTTGGGCAGGCTGACAGAAAGGGCAGGTTGGTCAGGAGAATGGGTGGTGGGGCATGGCGGGGCCAGGTAGGGTGGGCAGGGCTGACAGCTGGGGCTGTGGAGCCAGGCCTGGGCTAATGGTTGGGGTCGGGGTGAGCGTGAGGACAGGACAATGGTGGGAGAGGGTGGAGCCAGGCAGGGTAGGTGGGAGAAGGGTGGGGGCTTGTGGGGAGGGGTGGCCTGAGGTGGGAAATATCACTGGACTCTTGTGAGAGCCCCTGGCTGAGCAGCCAATGGGAGCGTGAGGGGACTTTTGCTTAGTGGAAGGATTTGGTAAGGCCAGCAGCCTCCTGTGTTGAGGCCTGGTGTAGCTCATTCCAAAGGACTAGGCCAGACTAGGCCACCGGTCCTGGCAGCTGGAACTGCAGGGAGAGTTTGTCTGTGGCTGCAAGGCTGGGAGAGCAGCTTTCAAGAGAATAAGGGTTGAACAATTAATAATTAAACACTAGTCCATGTCGAAAGAAAGCTGGAGGTTAAATTGAGGGCTGTACTTGTCTTTACACCTCACTAATGTGACACTTGAAGTAGATAAAGGGTCCACTACATGCTTTTGGCTTTTTTTTTTTTTAATATTTTCTAGATAAAGTTTTCCTGTGTAGCTCAGGCTTAGAACTCACTCTATAGACAAGGCTATCCTCGAACTCAGAGATTGCCCTGTCTCTGCCTTCTGATTCATTCATTTATTCTTTCTTTCTTTCATTTAATTGATTTATTAGGGTTTTTTTTTTTTCAGACAGGGTTTCTCTGTTTAGCCTTGTCTGTCCTGGAACTCATTCTGTAGACCAGGCTGGCTTCAAACTCAGAGATCTACCTGCCCCTACCTCCTGAGTGCTGGTATTAAAGTTGTAAACCAATACCGGGAATATTGTTTTGTGAAACTAAGACTTGATTTGTAGCCCAGGCTGGCCTTGAACTTGGGATCCTTCTGCTTTTACCTTCTGTGTATTGGGGTTTCAGGTCTGAACCACTATGCCATACTTTCTCAGTTAATTAAAATATATATATATATATTACATATACATATATATATTGTTATATATATGTATATATATAGGGTACATTTGTTTATTTTTTTGTGTTTGGACATGCAAGTGCCATGGTAGGTGTATAGAGATCAGAGATTAGACAGCTTGCATTAATTGTTTTCTCCTTTTACTACGTAGGTCCCTGGGATAAAATTCAGATTGTTAGGTTTGCTGGCAAACACATCTTACTGATGAGCCATTTCAACTGTATTGATTTGGTTAGTCTTAAATATGAATTATAAAGAAACAAGAATCTTAGGTTCCAGAATTCCAGACTCCTATACATCTCTATTAGTAGGCAGAAGCTCATAATTACATGAAGCACACAATACCTTATTAAGTATGAGTAATTTCTAAAAAGTCACTCTGATGAAATTCATGCCTACTGTTATATGACTTCCACTCCATTCTTGATAGCACTTAGCTCCTATCAAGACATATATCTATATATATGCGCTCATATATGTAGACATATATAGACAGCCAGACAGATAGAATTAAAAACAAAAATTATTTTTCAAAGAGAAGTACATATAGGGGCTGAGATGTCGCTCAGTTGGTAGAGTATTTGCCTAGCCTGCATCAAACTTGGCTCAGACACCAACACGGCATAAATCAATGGCAGACACACTGCTGTGAATCCCAGCCCTCAAGTGGGAGAGTGAGGATAATAAAAACTTCAAGGTCACATTCCACTACATAGGGGATTAAAGCCAGCCCAGAATCTAATCTAAGACACTATTCTTAGTTTTGAGGTAGGGTCTTGCTATTGAGACCAAACTGGACACACATGAGCACGTAAAGGTACTTCTGACCTTGCATTTTGGAAACTGGTTATTGCCGGCATTTATTTGAGAATGTGGATATCTTATTGCCTGTGTTGTTGGTAGGCCTTAGTTTAAAATCCTCTTTTTTTTCCAGTTGTATTATTAACATGGATATAAGCAGCGGCAGTGAAGAGTTTGAGGACTGTAAGTAGAGCCTTCATTTGATTGGAGGGTGCATATATTAAATGTCTTTGTAGAGATGACTGATATGAAATTTGGGATACTTGGCTTGATCTGGTCCTATGTTTGGCCCCTTCTAGTGTTCTTTCTGGCTTGTTGAAATTTATTTCTCTGCTTTCAAGAGCAGGGGAATATATTCATTTTTTAAATGTGTGCTTTACCCCTTTTTGGTTCCTGGGTCTTTCATTTCCTCTCTATCTTTCATAGGAAACATAGATTATTTTGGCTCTTACCTCTGTCTTTCTTTGTCCTTCCTTTCTTTGTCTTTCTCTTTGTTGCTGGACATTGAGTCCAAGGTATTCTAATCAAGTACTCTACACCTGACCTATGTCACTAGTCTTGGGTAAATGTAAATTTTACTAGCCGTAATTTATAAGCTAGTTTTCTGGAGTAAAAGACATGAGCTACTAGATTTTATGATGCTTCCTAACGCTCTTTCTTTCTTTGATTTAGATAAGTCTCCAGTGCCGGAGCAGGAAGAGTCCAGGTAAGCAGGAGATTTGTTGGAACTTGACTTCTCTTTTTTTTTTCACCCATTGTCCTAGGCAAAAGATTTAAGAGTAAACATCACATTTTCTCAACAGCATCATGTTGGATGTCTGACTTTATTACCAGTTTAAAGTATCTGATTCTTGTCTTGGGCCATTCTTTAACTCTTCCGCTGTTGGTTCATTTTTATAGGGGTGTGTGTGTGTGTGTGTGTGTGTGTGTGTGTGTGTGTGTGTATTCTTTTTTTAGGTGGAGTCTCACTGTATAGGTCTGGCCATCCTGGAAATCACTCTATAGACCAGGCCGGCCTCTAACTCATAGAGATCTGCCTGCTTCTTCCTCCTTAGTGCTGGGATTAAAGATGTGTGTCAACATGATTGACTAGTTTTTGGCTTTTAGAGACAGGGTCTCACTATGTAGTCCTGGCTGTCCTAGAACTCATTGTATAGATAAAGGCTGGCTTTGAACTTGTGGCCTCTGCTCTTAACTTCTAGAATTCATACTCAACTAGTTTGTTTTTTTAAAAATGTCTTTGAACTGTCTAGTCTAAATCAGTGCTGCATCTTGCCTCCTGGTGATCTTATAAGTGTACTGTGATCATATTTATAACCAATACAAATAACTCATCATATAAATATCAGCGTGCTTACCCTAGCTTTTAGAGCTTTTAGAGATCTGTAAGATGTGGTAAAAGTGATGATCAGATAGAAATGGAGTGAGAACCAAAAGATAACCATGTGCTAGAAATTAAGAGAAGCTTTTTCCTTCCCTTCCCTTCCCTTCCCTTCCCTTCCCTTCCCTTCCCTTCCCTTCCCTTCCCTTCCCTTCCCTTCCCTTTCCCTTTCCCTTTCCCTTTTTCCCTTTCCCTTCCTATTCCCTTTTCCCTTCCCTTCCCTTTTCCCTTTCCCTTCCCTTTTCCCTTTCCCTTTCCCATCCCTTTTTTCCCTTCCCTTTTTCCCTTCCCTTTTTTTCCCTTCCCTTTCCTTCTTTCCTTCTTTCCTTTCCTTTTCCTCTTTCCTTTCCTTTTCTTTCCTTTCCTTTCCTTTTTCCTTTCCTTTACCTTCCTTTCCTTTCCCTTCCTTTCCCTTCCCTTCCTTTCCCTTCCTTCCTTTCCCTTTTTCTTTCCTTTTCTTTTCAGACAGAGTCTCTTTGTAGCCCTGGCCATCCCATAACTCACTACATACACAAGGCTGGACTCGAACTGAGTTCTGGGATTAAAGGCATGTGCCATCATTCTCAACAAGAAGATTCTGTTTTTTTAAAAAAATAGTTGTCTTTCTTTTATGTGTAGAAACATTTGCCTGCTTGTATACATATGTGCCTAGTACCCATGATGCCTAGAAGAGGTGTTAGACCCCCTAGAACCAGTTAAAACCAGTTGTAATCTGCTGTGTGGGTGCTGAGAATCAGACCAGGGTCTGCTGCAAGAGCAGCCAGTGTCAGGGGCTGGAGAGATGGCTTGGTGATCTTCCAGAAGACAAAAGTTTGATTCCTAGCACTGACATGGTGGCTTACAACTGTCTGTAATTCCAGTCCCAAAGATCTGCTGTCCTCTTCTGGATTCCAAATACACTGTATGCACATAGTACATGCACATTCACATGGGCAAAATACCTATAAACATGAAGAAAATAAAAATGAAAAATCATGACATATGTGGTGGTGTACATGGCCTTTTATCCCAGTGCTGGAGAGGCAGAGGCAGGCAGACCTCTCTGAGTTCAAGAACAGCCTGGCCTATAGGGTGAGTTTTCAGAATAGCCAGAGTTGTTACACAGAGAAACCCTGCCTTGAAGGAAAAAAATAAAATAAAAAAGGAAAATCTTTTTCAAAAAGAACACCATGTATTCTTACTTGCTGAGCCTTCTCTGCAGCCCCTCGAAGACAATAATTTTGTTTGTATGTGTCTAAGGCAGGTCCTCTCTAAGTAGCTTTGGGTGTCCTGGGCTTACTATGTTAACGCTGGCCTTGAATTCACAGAGATCTGCCCGCCTCTGCTTCCTAGGTGCTGGAATTGAATGCATGTGCCACACACCCAGCCTAGAAAGGTTCTTTAAGGCTAGGATAGTAAGTAGGAGAGCAAAGGTTCATCAAATTGGCAGCTTAAAAGACAACATGCATCGTAGAAGTAGATTAACATTGGTGTCTATAGTGGATGCAGAAAAAATTGTAACAAGTATTTGGAGTGTTTTTCTTTTTTTAATTTTTTTATTAATTACACTTTATTCATTTTGTATCCCCCCATAAGCCTCTCCCTCCTCCCCTCCCGATCCCACCCTCCCTCCCCTTTCTGCATGCATGCCACTCCCCAAGTCCACTGATAGGGGAGGTTCTCCTCTCCTTTCTGATCTTAGTCTATCAGTTCTCATCAAAAGTGGCTGCATTGTCCTCTACTGTGGCCTGGTAAGGCTGCTCCCCCCTCAGGGGGAAGTGATCAACGAGCAGGCCAATCAGATTATGTCAGAGGCAGTCCCTCTTCCCATTACTATGTAATCCACTTGGACACTGAACTGCCATGGGCTACATCTGTGCAGGGGTTCTAGGTTATCTCCACAAATAGTCTTTGGTTGGAGTATGAGTCAGGAGTGTTTTTCTTCTATAGTAAAAGTGTTTCATGTCCAGAGATGGATCACTGGGTTGAGGTACTTGCCACACAAGTCTAATAACTTGATTTTCATCCCCAGAACCCGTGTAAAGGTGAAAGTAGACACTTGACTTCATAAAGTTGTGCTATAACTTCCACATATGTGTTGTGGTGCATGCATAATTATACACACTATACACCTCCGTCAACAATGATAATTTTAAAAGGTACATCTTACAGGGATGCATGCCTGTAAACCTAGACCTTGGAAGCCTGATGAAAAATTTCTGTGACTTCCAGTATATCTTGGGCTAAAGAGTAGCTGCTGGTGAGCTTCATGGCACATTGATACAGGCTAGAATCGTTTTAGAATAGGGAGGTCTCTGTTGAGAAAATGCCTCCATAAGATCAGGCGGTATGCAAGCCTGTAGATTTTTCTTAATTAGTGATTGAAGTGAGGGGCCCAGCCTATGGTGGGTGTGCTTATCCCTGGGCTGGTAGTCCTGGGTTCTGTAAGAAAGCAGCCTGAGCATGCCAGTGGGTAAGCAGGCTCTGCTTCAGTTCCTGTCTACAGCTTTTAGCCTTTTCCTATTCTACTTCTCTCAGTGATAAGCACTGATAAGGAAGTGCAACCCAAATAAACTCCTTTCTCCTCAAGTTGCTTTTGGTCATGATGTTTCTTCCCAGCAATAGTAACCCTAAATAAGACAGAAATTGGTACCCAGGGTGGTTACCACTATATCAGACCTGACCGTGTCACTTTGTGGAGGATTTTGAAAGTACTTTGGAACGTTGGGAGCTAGAAAATCTATTGAGTGTTCAAAGCTTGGTGAGCTCTTCCCTGGGAACATGGAAGGTTAGTGTTGAGAAAAATGCAGATGATGTAGGCCTGGTTTGAGAAGTTCCAGAGGGAAGATTGGAAGTCACTTAAGGACTCTATTTGGACTGTTTCATATTTTGAGTTAGGAATCTGTGGTTGTGGGTAGCTGGGGCTGAAGAACTGGCTGTGATTAACAAGATACTAGCCTAACTAACTTAAATCCTTTCCTTTGCTGGGATAATTGAAGTTGGACAGCTGGAGCTGAGAAATTAGCCATAACTAAGAAGAGACCAGCAGTACTGAGGTGAAATATTCTGGAAAATGTTTACTCAGAATAGGCACACAGAAGTGGTGATCCAGAGACTGTTGTCTGGTTTGTAGCTTGTGCTGGCAGCAGAATCTGGTAGTCTCTAAGAGTCACCAATTGGTACTGTTTATGAAATCATGAATGTGTCATGAAGAACAGCGGAGGCCTGGCACTGTGAGGCAGAGCTGCAGTTCCCAAAGAGACCCCAGGAGAGGCTACTAGTAGGAGTGCATCCCAGGTGAAGCAAGAGACTCCAGCCATTTGGAGATGCCAGTGTCATGGAACAAGCACCAAGAAGAGCGGCAGTCATGGAGTGGAGCCATCCTGATCTTAGGAGACAAGCTGGGCATGCTACAGAGGGTAAAGCTGGAGAAGATCATGACAGGATACCAGACATGAGACATTGAGTTACTTGCTCAATTGGAGTTTGGTTTTGCTTTGTTCATATTGTGACTTCTGTAAGATGCCTCCTTTTGTAAGAGCAGTGGAAAGGTTTATAGAAAGATGGAAAATGAGGACTAATTGAAAGATTTAACAAATATAATGAAGGGGAACAGAGTTGGTATAAGAAACACCCAAAATTTAACAAGTGATCATGCTTATTGTAGAAAGTAGGGGAAATGTCCTGAAGAGAAGAATACTCTGCTCATATTTTCTTGGTTTGTTTTGTTTTGTTTTTCTACCTTACAACTTAGCTGTGTGGTGATTGACTCAGACTCTGACACTCGATCTTCCATTGAAGAACAGAGGGCTGAGATCTGTGAAATAAGCAACAAAGGGAAGTATCATTTCTGCTTAGAGAAACAGCTGGGCTCTGAAGCCTTGGCACATGTGGCTGTTTTAGGATCTGCCTCTGCAAACCTTAAGTTTGTGATGACTTTGTAGCCAGTGCCACCATTTCTTTCTCCATCGTGTACTGGTTTCCTACCCTGCTGTTTATTTCCTAACACACCTGCAACTTCCTGTTGCCTTAGATTTGGGTAGAGTTCTATCTTCCTAGAGCTCTGCTCCTCCCTCTTCTCTTTTCATCCTTTATGGACAAGAAAGAGGAGAGGGTTAGAAGCATGACACTACCTTCTTTCCAGCTGGGTGGAAACTGGGGTTAGGAGAGGTTAACAGTGAAAACTGTTAAAGATCTACTATCTACTTCATACCTTATTGCATAAGACAGCAAGCACCAAAAGTCCAGCTGGACCACAGTGACTAAATAAAGAACTTTTCTAAGCTAGAGAACTTTAACTTGATTTAGATGAAATATTGCTTTATTGAAGCAAGTGCCCTTATTTGGCTATGGCCCACAAGGCATCAGATTTGTGTTAAGGAACAACTGAGCAAGTACCTCATGCTGTCTAGACAGTAGGATTTCAAAGTGGGAATCATATTTTCATTGCTAGTTTATGGGTCACTTCTCTCAGGAAAATACAAAATAAAGGGAACATTCTACAACTATGATTTTTAACTATGATTCAGAATGTCCAAGCATTCAACTATTTAAGCTTAGTTTGTGTTCAATATCCTGCTGATGTCTGTATGTACAGAGTGGGTAGAAGGAGTGTATTTACATATGTCTCTTGAATTTCAGATGATTCCCGTGATGAGGGCCAAATACTTGAGTATGAAAAAGAAGTGGTTCAAAGTATTGATTCTACTCCCAGTTCAGCTGATGGTTGTGACCTGTGGGATCTTTGTGGAAATTCCAACCAGCCATCAAGTGAGTCTAACCCAGAGCCAGAGCCAGAGCCAGAGCCAGAGCTGGAGCCAGAGCCGGAACTGCAACCTCAGCCAGAGACCGAGTCCCAGGCTGAGCCCAAGCCAAAACCTGAGCCCAAAGCACAGCCAGAGCCAGAGCCAGAGCCAGAGCCAGAGCCAGTGCCAGAGGGGGAGCTGCATCCAGAGAAGGAGCCCAAGCCACAGCCTGAGTCCAAGCCCCAGCTGGAGCCTGAGCTAAAGCAGGTGCCTGAGTGTCAATCTGAGCAAAATATCACCAACAAGGAGGCTGGGGAGAGGCGGGCTGCATATCTGCTGGCCAAACAAAGGAAAAAGAGAAAAAACAGATTTATATGTATGTCACAGGGTAAGCCACGTAAGGAAACGTTATAGGGTTGAGCCTAAGCCCCTGCCTGAGCTAGATCCCCAGCCAGAGCAGGAGCCTGAGCCTGGGCCTGAGCCTGACCCTGAGCCTGACCCTGAGCCTGAGCCCAAGGCAGAGGCAGAGGCCAAGGCCCAGCCACAGCTGGAGCCTGCACCTGAGCCGGAGCCTGATTCTGAATCTGAGCAAAATATTACCGACAAAAAGGCCAAGGAGAGTCGGGCTGCGTATCTGCTGGCCCAACGAAGGAAAAAGAGAAAAAATAGATTCATATGTATGTCACAGGGTAAGCCACGTAGGAAACGCCGTAGGCTATTCTCACAGAATGAGCCCAGCCTGCCAAGTGCATCTGCAAAGCCTAGGTCCCCTGATGTGTCCATGTCATCGGGCCAACCTCTTCATGCTGCTGAAAACACCGCATTAAGTAAGGGGAGAGGGAAAGGAGCAAAACCACGAAAGTGAAAAGTGTCTCAAGTGGACGTGGGGGCTCCCATGTCCATTTTCCTTATGCCTCAATATGCATTTAGAGTTCAGTTCCACTGGAGTGCTTTTTTTTGTATTCCCTCTCCTGATGATATTCTGGGTCATTGCCCATCCCCTCTGGATAATTGTGAATCCCTCTATGCAGCCATGAGTTAGAGTGGCTCCTCCCTCCGACATGTTGCAACATGTTGCTGAATGTGTCCCCTCATAAGAGGACTGTTCATGATTTACTCTCTGAGGGTCTAGCCTCATGAGTGGCCTGTAACATGTTTAAGTTTAATAAATAAATAAATGATACTCTTGGTGCCTAAGTCTCTGGCTAGAGTTATTGGCACTATGGGTTCTGGAAGAAGGCAAAAGGCAAGGTGTGACTTGCAAATTGGGTGAAGGTGCTGCTGGGGACATGTGCTAATACCATACCAATCCATAGACTATACTAGTCTTAGTTGCTCATGCAACCAAGCCTCCAAGGACCCTCGTGGTAGTTCTGTGTACCTGTGACACTGTTTACTCAGCTAACTCAGCTGGTGGTTGATGGCCCTAAATAGAGTCACTCAAAAAGTAGCAATATGCAGCCTGCCCACACAGTCTTGATTGGTGCTGCCCTGTGCTAGCCTTTGAGAGCTCTTCTTGAGCTTCCGTTTCTCTCAGTTGCTGCATGGAATCATTTTCCATTTTACAAATCAACTATTAACCTTTCAGCTGATAGTGGACAAAAACTTGAGGGCCTTCCCAGAAGAAACCCATTGCACCAAAAGTTGAAAAATGCAAGACTGGGTACATGTTGCTCATTTGCATGGGACATGATTGCACATTTATTGCATGTTCATCAGTCCAGTGGATACTAGAAACTCCAAGGGGATGAAGGAGTCTGGTTGGATGAAAGTTTCTGACCCTAAGGAGGTATGCACATGATGAGGTCACCTGCTGGTTCCCCTTCTTTCTGTCCTAGCCATCCAGGTAAAGGACCAGGCCTGTGTGCTCTACTCAAATCCTAGCAGTTAACTGGCAGAGTACTTCCTTCAACCTCACAACAGCTCTGACCTCTGAAGTTTTCTTTGTCCTTAAATTCAGGTCAAAGATGCATATGTGGCCCAGGCACTTTTTAGGTGGACACAGCTGATGGCCATCAGTTTACACTGAAGCAAGCCAACAGAGTTGAATGTGATGGCACATTAATCCCAGGACTCAGCAGGCAGAGGCAGGGCAATTAGGAGTCCAAGGCTACCTTTGACAAATCTAGTACAAGGCCAGACTCATCTGCATGGTACTCTTACCTCAAAAATCATCTAGCAGGACAATTACAGAGGAGAAGGTAGAACTAGGTGTTCTGATCTGGGATGGGAGGGAGGGTAGTTAAAAATGTCTTCAGGGTTTTTCTAATGCTTTGCATGATCACATTTCCCCTTAATATTGTATGTATTTTTGTGCTTTGCTTTGTTTGGAAGGTTTGTGTTTACAACCCATTGGCCTTGGACATGCTGCCAAGCACTCTGCCACTGAGCCACATCTGTGCTATCCTATGAATTTTCAAAGCATCACTGACTCAGGAAAAAAAAAAAAAACATTGGAGTGAGGTAGATTGCTTGTAGTTTAATTATTATTCTTATTAAGATATAGGAGCTATCAGAAACAAGTATTGCCTAAGCCAAAGGCATGCTAGTACTGAAGCTAGAAGTCCCATTTAGGTTTTAAAATTTCACTTTCCCCTTGCAATATGGATTTCAATTTTATCACAGGTTTTACTTCCATTCAGGAGTAATGACCTCTTACAAGAGAAAGAATACATTTGAAGAAGCATATTTGTGTGCGTGTGGGAGTATTTTGATTTTTTGGTGTCTTTTTTGTGTTTGTTTTGTGGTGCTGGGGCTGGAACTGAGGCCTCATGCATACCATACAAGTATTCAACCACTGAACTTCTTCAGTGTAGTGATACTTTTAAGCCTGTGTTTTGGGAGAAAAAAAAATGACATTCAGGGAGGGGAAGGGAAAAAGAGTGGTGTGTCAGGCGTGGGACAGGGGAGATCAGCTTTGGTCTGAAAGAGGCTCTGTGTCCCTGTGCTCTTTACCTAGCTGATATGATTGAGTCAGCTCATCATGTATCAGTAAGGGATTATCTCTAGAGTCTATTCATATTTAAGCTGTTGCCTATAGGGATGCTTCTCTTGACAATATCCAGGTTGCTTTGCTAGACAGAGACTGACAGAAGAAAGGAGGAGCTGCCTCTGAGTATCCTTCTCATGACCCTTTATCTGAAGGTGACCAGCCAGTTTGAACTTTTACCTCTGTCTTGTACTTCATTGCTCTGGGAGCCTCCTATGGTGCTTCATATGGTTCCTGTGTAGGCTGCTTGCTGGTCATAGTGTTGAATATACCAATCTGGAGGTCTTCTTAGTTCTCTTGTTGTGCGGTACACAAGCTCTGAGGCAAAGTTTTCTAAGCCTTAAGGCTAGCTTTCTCTGAGTATACAATGAGATCCCATTCTCTGCTGGATCTGGCAGATGGCACAGGCTTTCATCTGCTGCCTCTGCTGATATGTACCTGCTTTCAACACTAGGTGATTGAAAGCAGAAATGTTTGATGTCAATTGAATTGAGCTTTGGCTCTTGAGAGTGTGTTTGGGGCTTCTAGAAGTATAGTGCAGCTACATATATACACTTGCTGAGAAAGCTCCTCCTCTACTAGGGAAGGTCATTCTCTACTGAGGAACGTTATTGTCTTCAATCAAGTGCAGCCTTAGGATTAAAACCTGTCTAGCCATCCTTGCATTAGCTTCCTTTTGTTTTGTTTTGTTTTGTTTTGTTTTGTTTTGTTTTGTTTGGAGACCTGTCTGTCTAGCCCTGACTGTCCTGGCCCTGCTTTGTAGACCAGGCTGACCTCCAACTCACAGAAATACATCTGCCTCTGCCTCCTGAGTGGTGGGATTAAGGTGTGTGCCATAGCACCCAGCAGCTTCCTTTGTTTTATTTATTACTTTGCTTTCTCCCCACTCCAAGTTCTTTACACAGGCTTTTATTCCACAATTCAGTACTTAATAAATGCTCTGGAAAATTTTCCATCTCAGGAACCTGTGAAGTCAGAAACTCCCCATGTGGTCATTTCTTTTATTATCTCTGTGGGCTCGTTTCTCTGACCCAGTTGATCTAGCCATGATTTTTAAAAAGCCTCCAGCTATGGTGGCATATCTGATAAATCCCAGCAACAGGAAAGATAAGGCAGAATGATTGCCACGAGTTTAGGGCTAGCCATACCTATGTGTCAAGACCTAGCTCATAAAAAACTGCTTCCACTGAAATCAGTGGAAGATTAGCATTAGCCCTTTGTATGTTCAGCATTATTCTTTGTTCTAATTAAGATACACCTTGACATATGGTGCAGAGATCATGGTTTAATAGACAGACTGAGAGATTTGGGTCTGAAGGCCTATCTCTGATCTTTGGGCCAGATACCTCTGAGCTTCAGTGTCCTCATTTTCAAGATGAGGTTCTTTGCAAATGTTAAAATACCATTGGTGGTTCTCAGTAAAGTTAGAGATGGGGTCACTCTGTGTCCTGGGAAAGAGTTGATGCTGAATACAAAAATGGGAAATCACAGTTTACTCCAGGGATTGTTTGAGTTGCCCACGTTGGGCACAGGAGAAGTGCTAGCTAGAAACAGTGGTTTAGATCAACATTGATTCAGGCCTTCAATACCAGACCAACTGGGAATGTAAAATCCCGAAAGAAACAAAATTCATCTGGAGGTGAGTGAGTAGTTGGATTTGAATGAAAAGAACCTGGTAGTAAAGAACAAAATTACTGCTTTTGTATAAAGGGGAAGACAGGGATGTGATTAGCGAGGTGACCCTGACTTGCAAAGGAGATGCTGGCTGGATGAGCCCATAGTGAGGAGGTAGCAGTCCACATTACAGTTGAACACAGGGTAAGGGAGAAATGAACTTCAAAAGTCAGTTGTGATAGAATTTTAATTATGGAGCCTGTTATGCTAAATATAGCTTTATAAATCTGTTCAAAATTTGCATTGAATAACTGCAAAATCAGAAATACAGTGGCCTGACCTTAGCACCCTGTCCTTCTGATAAAAAAAAAACCTGTTAAATTACTCTAACCTGGCAGCCTATGTCACAGCTTTGAACTGTCATTTACGGATGGACAGACCTTCTGTGTGTTGCTTAGAGGACATTATTATTGGATGTCTCACCATTCCAATGAATCCAACATATCAGATTAGTTTTTAGGCCCATCTGCACACTTTTCTTTTCTAAAGCCAGCATCTCCATTCTCTCAGTATCTAAGTGTCAATATGTCCTCTCGAGACAGTCATGAACCTGTCCTCCAGCTTCACATTTGCCAGTGTCTAGATACTCATCCCCGCCCTCTTCTCCACACTGCACTCAATTTATTGTGAGCTTTCCTGCTCAGAATCTGGTTGTCCAGGACATTGTAATCTGCTCCTTCTTCACATCTCCTATCTAGCTCTCACTACTATACTTCTAGCACAGGCTTCAACCATTCTTTTCCCTCTGGGTCTCTAGATCCAATCATGACTCACGTTTTTGACATTTTTCATGTGCCCCCAACATATTAGGAAACAGAGCCTCACATATGCTCTATATGCTCACATATGCACTATAAGTGCTTTGTCATTGAATAGCAGCTACAACCCTCATTAATTCTTAGAAATCAAGGATTTTTGTCTTGTTTCTAATCTGGGGTCTTACAATGTTGTCCAGCCTTTTTTTTGAACCCCTGGGCTCAAGCAGAGCTCATATCTCAGCTTCCTGAGTAGCAGGAACTATATTTAAGTGCTGCCACCAACCCAGCTTTGAATGACCTTCTTTTGGTAGGGAGGGCTATGCTACAGGTTGACATAGGGGGCTCTCAATCTGTAGAGCAGGCTGGTCTCATACTCTCCATTTAGCTCAAGGTGACCTTGAATTGTGTAGTGTTCCTGCCTGAGCCTTTCAGTGCTGGGATTAT